GAGGCTAAAAGTATGGTTTCATGGGAAACTTGTTGACTTTTAAATTTTGGCGCCTAATTCATTTTTTTTTTTAATATCATGTGGGTGAACAAAGCTATCTTTGGTCTGCATCCAGCCTGCAGGCCACCATTTTGTAAAGCGTGATGTATATCATATGTTCTTGACTAAAGCTTATACCAAAAGGTAATTATATTAATTCCTTAATTTGAAGGCAAATCTATTACAGCTGACTCTTTTTTTATCAATTGCTTTCAATTTCAAATTTGTTTACAATTCAATTGCTTTAGCAGTTAATGCCTTTCCGGGATCATCAACTCTTCTCAACAGCCTATAAAAGCTTTCCCCATCCTCAATAGAATAAAACCCTCCCTTCCTTTACCACCCTGCTGCAGGGATTGTCTATTTCTCCTAAGTCCTATTTCTTCAAAGGGCAGTCTCCTCTCACTGTCTCCAGTGTGGTCTCCCACCCTCTCCTCAACCCAGGCCAGCTTGGCAGCTTTTCAGACCACTTCATTAAATATGCTGCCAGGAAGGTCAGAGATGACCACCTTATTGCAAAATTCAAAGGATGCTTTCAAATTCCCATCTTAACTTCCCTGTGGCATTTGGCATCGCTGACCACTTCCTCCATTTTGAAAGTGTCTTTATCCTTGGGTTGCACAATACCCTCTCTTTCCAGGTTCTCTCCTTACCTCTCAGGCTGCTCCTTCTATTATTATTATTTGTTTTCTTTTTTCCTGGCTTGATTTCATTGAACTAATATTTATTGAACACCTGACATGTACCAAGCACGGTGCTAAGCATTTTCCAAATGTAGCTAGTAGATACCTCACACCACAAGAAATAAAACTTTATTTCCCTAAAATCAACATCATTTCTAACCTAAACTTCCAGCTTATGTGGCTTACATGATGTGTCAATTCAGTCTTTTTTGAGGCTCCAATCTTTCCCCCAGGGTCACACTCTGGTAAACGGAAAATGATGGGAGAAGTGCAAGAGGTATGCGTGTCTTTGCTATAAATGGCTCCCCGTCCTTATCGGCTTGCCAATCTCCTGTTCCCCAGCTGTGGCCAGGACCCCCAGGGTCTAGGTTTCCACTTCCCTGCCAAGATCATACAGCACATCTGGAGTACAACCACCTGCTCAGATCCACAGACTTCTCTCCACTTCTAAATCCCAGGAAAGGTCCCTTTCTCCCTTGGCACTCTAACGGCTTATAAGTTTTCACCTCTTCAGTGGGTTTAGGTTTTCACAAAAGACAGGAAATCCATTAATTTCAAATTGCTTCTGCTCTCCACACGTACTCTACAAAAAGTCCCAAAGCCAAGAAAACACTTTAAAAGGATACTTTTCTTGGTGGGAACTGGAGATAAAAAGGAAGGGAAAAATTTCCCAACTTACGTTTCTGTGAGGTGTCCTGCCATAATTCTTATGCAAACTCTGAGAAGTGGGTATTATTATTGTTGTTTCACAGATGAGAAAATTTAAACTTAAGAGTTTAAGTTGCCCAAAGCTGTGTAACTGCAAACCTCCAGCTTTTAACCATTGCCTTTTATGGCCTGTCTCCTTGTCTCTGTCCTGAAATGTTCCTGGTCTTCCTCTTCCAGCACGCCACAGGGGGTCTCAAGAGTTCAGCTGAACACTAATCAGCACCTGAGGCTCTGTGTGAGGAAACTACCTAAAGGCAGGGAAAGAACCACCAGAAGAACAGTGCCCAGAGCCCACACAGGGATTGAAGCTCGCCTGCTCCCAATAGCCGGAGTGCAAAATTTCCAAGGGCGGGGAAATCACTTTGACATTCCAGCCAAAACTGGACATCCCAGCCAAGAGGGGTCAAGGCTATACACTGATAAAACTATGATAGAGACTTTAAACTAGGCATCAGCAATTGGGAGGGTCCTGTGGGAGAAGCTAGGGCTTATGGGAGGAGTTTCACACTGTGTCCTAGGAGAGCCGCACAGGAAGAACTCTATGTACAAAATAGAGCTCTATGGTTGTAAAAGTCCCTCCTCTTAACTTCCTCTTCCTCTCTGTAAGTTCATCTTCCATCTTTGTCCAGCGCAATGTGTGCATGTGTTTTACCATGTCTGCACCCACTGGATTGCAGTCTTTTCCTTTTTTTTTTAATAATCCTTTTGGTGATGGAATGATGCCTAGCTAATTCTGTTTTTATGGTCGACAGAGCCACCTAGAAATGCAGCTCCCCCCACCTCAAAAAAAGAAAAGAAATGCAGCCCAAACAGAAAGTATCACAGCACTCAGTGAGGCCTCCAGCAGTGCTCTACTTACCCTAGCCTGCAAACTCAAACATCTAAATCTTGTTCCTCACTGTCTCACATAGTCCCTCTGCTTAAAACCATGGGAGAACTCCCATCGCCTTTACCACTTCCCACCCACAAGAGAGCCTGGTCCTGACTCAGCAAAGAGATAGTGAGAGACAGATGAAGTAGGAGGAATACAAACAAGAGGGATCATCTGGACTTCATTCACAGCTATCCTCTTCCCACCACCACAAGGAATAATGGGAACTGGAATCTGGGGACTATGGATCTTGGGGAATTATGCAAACTAAACTGGCACCACACATTACTTTTCTTCAGAGATTTAAAAAAAAAAAAAAAAAGAAAGCCAACTCTCCTAAAAATCATTCAGAATATTTTTGCCCTTGGGAAACCATGTGTCTGCTTTCCTGGTCTACACTATTTACAATGAGCTCATTTTAGAGAGGCAGTTTCTGACTCCATCCACTAGAATAGGACCACCATGCTAGCAAGCAGTTGGCAACTTGCTCAATGAAAGCATGAATGGACCAAGGTCTCAATATAAAAAAAAACAAGAAACAAATACCCCAACTTAAAATAGTCTTCCAGACCTCATTTTAATAGAGTCCCTATCCATTCAGAGACTTTCATAAATAACCCCACAATTAATGACATGTGTTTATCTGCAAAGCCACTCACCTGAAATACACAGTGGGTGATGTTCTCTCTGGGTATGGAGTTTATTTATGAGAAAAACTTAACCTAAGGATAAAAATAGAGTAGGAGTACGCAACTAAATTTGCAACTGCTCTCCCCAAAAGCCTTGGGTGTAACCTATTTTGAAAAGAGTTCAATCTGAGGTGATACAGAAATATAGCTAAACAAGGAGTTTGCAACTATTAAGAAAAATGTAACTAACCCTTCTCCCTTGTAATTCTACTGTGGGGAGACAGAACTACAGCATTTAGTAGGTGGACCCTCTCATATCGGATATATTTTTACATATAATTTATTTAGACCATACTATGTAATTATTGCATATTGAAATTAACATACTGAAATCTTAGATCCTGTCACACCTCCACTGCATTCAGAGTAAAATTCATATGACTCAGTGGGGCCTACAAGGATCTATTGGGTCATCAGGAAAGTCGTGACGTATTTTTCTATGTTTTTCAATGCAAAAATGCATCCTGACTTTCCCGACAACCCAATACCAACCTTATCCCTACCAATCTCACCACTGTGTTCAAGCATAGCTGTTTTCTTTCAGATGCTCACACATCCCAAGACCTTTCCAACCCCCAGTCCTTAGCTATGCTCTTCCTTCTGGTCCCTGTTCTTCTTGAGGATGATCAGCTCTTCTTATCCTCCAAGTCTTGGCTGTAATGTTATCTACAAGGATCTTTTCTTTCCATCCTCTTGTCATTCTGTGCCTGTTTAAGTCTTCAAAAGCACGTATAGCAACTAAACTGTGAGGACTTTTAAAGGGGTCTCCTTCTCCTGTCAAAGTGCAAGCTCTATGGCATCAGGAACCATGTTTACCTTATTCACTATTTTATCCCCAATGGCAAATATAAGTGTTGGCATATAGTAGATGCTCAATAAAACATTGCCTGTTAAATGAAAAATGAGTCACAGTCCAATTCTACCATACTTTCACCCTACTCTAAACTACAAAGCCCAATTCAAGCATTCTTCTCCATTCCCATCTTTGTTCTTCCCTTTTCCATAAAATCTTCCATGAGCTTCTTACTTCTCACTGTTTAGAGACAAGGCACAGGAAGTGTCAGAGGTGTTCCTGGAACATTGTGGCTGCTTGATAGTACAATATTACCCAAATCACTTCTCCCAATGTATTCCTGTAGCCTTTTCCCAAACATCACTTGTTCACTTGCCACCTTCATGATTTCTCTCATATCTCAGTACCATCTGTCCTACATTTGTTGTATTTTTTTATTTGACACAATGTCTTCCTTCTTAAACAAATTTGCTTTTTTTTAAAAAATGTACAGAAATTTAAAGCTCATTTCACTGACCATAAAAGGGGCAACTGTGAAAATAAACATAATAAAAATGAAACAATATTAGCAACTGTTGTAGACGTGACAACACTAAAGTGAGTCTCTCTCTATGACACAATCTGGAGGACTGAAAATGCTGGAATGACTTCCTTACCCTGTGATTCATTATTATTTAAAGCAGTAACTGTGTTCATCTAAAATCATCCCACCTACCATTTGGACCCTTCTGTCATTCTGTATTATCATTAGCACTTGTACTTGGTACTTATTATTTACCTTGACTATTTATACTTTTATGTCTATGTCTCATCCCTCAGTCTTAGTTCCCTTTATTATCTCCCAAGTTTCTGAGGTTGATATCTTATACAGAATATATGCTCAATACAGTCTCAGTGGCATCTCATACTTAGAGCTTTGAACCAACTTGATCAAAAGAATCTATTCTGCCAATCTTCAGAATAGTTTTAAAAGAGATAGGGTATTCAGGAGTTTCGGTCTCCATTTCCCTCTGTCATGATTTTTCATAGCTATGGACCTAAACTATCTCATCCGGGTCACAGGAGTTGAACATGATGGATGGATGCCCCTGTGAATGTGAACTATATTCAACTAGGAAGAGGACCCAATACAGAAAACATAGACCTTTCATGCATGAATACATCCAATGCAAACACTCCAACTCCTAAGTGAAATAACTGCCAAATAAAACCAGAAAAAAACTGAATGTGTGATTTATTATATTTAAGATTGGTCTATAAGGCTTAAATATGTCTGGCATAATTAACAGTAAATGAATGCAACTTTACAAAATTAGTATTCCAATACAGTACAGGACTAACTGTGGCAACTGTGCACTGGAAAATTAATATCTCCTCAATGCAAATATCAAATTGGCAGGACCCTTTAGAAGCTCCCACTACAAATGCAAGCTGCAGTATTTATTACAAGCTCTACGCAGAACACGAGACTACCTAAATCAAGCATTAGAGAAAAACAGCGGAGTCACTCAGGCGTAATATGTCAGATTTGGTACAGGATTAAAATACTAACATTTTTTTTAATGACCTGGTTTCAAATTAATAAATACAAAAACAATATAAAAATATACACCAGTTGATAAGACTGCACTGCAGGTGATCAGAAAGTTAAATCTCACTCTCATACGTATGCAGGTATGTCTTTAGTGTCAGAATTTCTGAATAGCTGCGGCTGGTCTTTCGGAAGAAATCCAGGCTAGTGAGATGCTCAATGTCCCGCACCCGGGCTGTGTGCATCTTAATGAGATCTTCTACCCATTTTGACTCATCCTCGGAGTTCTGCAATGCAAACAGAATACAATGAGAGTCAGGATTTTCCGGAGGAGTTGTCCAAACGGCCAGCCTGCGCCAAGTCCACAGATGACCTCTGCGCACTCCGGCACCCAGAGCCAATGAGTGTTATTTCTTCCTGGCCTCCCCGCCACGCAACCACATTCCTGTCAGTAATGCACCGCAAATACCTGCCCTTGGCTGTAAACATTTTCAGCAGCAATTAGCTGTGCCAAATAAATGAGACGTGAGGTATGAAAGGGCATTTGACTCAATAGGTTCTCAGAACATAAATCACATTTAGGAAAACCAAAGGTCATGGAGAATTCAGGAATGTGTTGCTTCTCCTCCGCTTTCCCCCACCCCCCACCCCCTGCCCGCTGTCAAATTGCAATGTGGAGCACAGAGCACAAACAATTTTGAACACTCTTCTGCCTCCTCAGGGAAGTAAACAGCTTGTGCCCGAAGCCCCAAAATCATGTGCGTGTATTCGTAGTCTACCAGAAGAACCTGCTACATCAATGGCATCATCTCTGAGATTGCACGCAATTGATATTTAAATAATGAGTTTGACTTGAAGCAGCTCAGGTGATACACCTGGCACTTTGGGGACCAAGAGGCCTGGTTTGGATCTGTGGCTCTATCACTTTCCAGCTATGAGACTTTGGTCAAGCTACTTGACCTTTCTATGCCTCAGTTTCTCCATTGGTTCAAAAGGATAATAATGCTTACTTCAACAACTCCCTGGGAGGTAGAAAGAAGGAAAGGAAGGAAGAAGTGGGGAAAGGTAGAGTAAGGAAACATCATGGAAAAAAAAGGAAAAAAAAATCTTCTATTTTAGCTACTTGCCAGGAACTGTCTCATTGGCTAACATTCCAGATAAAGGACATTCAGACGTTCCATGCCAAACAATCTATTTCATGCCTGAGTTGAAACTACAAAGCAAGTCAGGCAAAGCAGTCCTTTACATTTTAAAAATGTCTTCTTTCACTTTTGAGGGAAGTTGAAAGAAAGAATGACATCTGTGAGCCCTGAGAATTATGGGGAATGCCTGTCTTCGTTAGTAGACATGAAGCAGAAGGGCCTTTGCAAGTAATTTCATTCTCAAATGCCCCCTAAACGGCAACGGCTCCCAGAAGTCTTTCTATAAGTTGGAAGGTGGCTGCATGTCCCAGGGCTGAGAAAGTTCAGACCTTCCCTTACCCAATTCTTTTCCCGCTGGTGGTCTCAATGAACTACCCAAGAGCCTGCAATGGGTTTTCTCGGAAAGCTCCAGCCCACACAGACCTGGACAGAGAGCTACAGCGGCTTGTGCCAGTGCTAAATATGGACCATGAGGGTGTTGGTTCAGGAAAGTGATGCCTGGCCATCCCAGGCAAAATGAAGAAACAGGAAGAAATTTCTTTGCAGGCTGGGGAAGTAAAGATTTTGACCCTCCATGCCCCACCCTCCTAACCCAAGCTAACCAAGATGTCCGCGATTCACAGGAAAGACCTAAATATAACTCTACCCACAACGGCACTGACCAATCCTCAGTGTGACCATATAATTAACGTAGTAGGAGGTCTCCAAACCCCTTAGGACCCCCTCAGAGTAAGTAGAGTAAGCACGAAGCTATATTTTGGGAGAATTTTCATATTTGACTCATTTATTTGATGTTCAATGGTCTCTTAAGTCAAAATTTTCCTTTGTAAATGTAGTCATTTGAAAGTATGGGCAAGAGGTGAAAAGGTTTTCCCTAATTTAAATAATGGCCAGCTGTGATTAAAAAATTCAGGGGAAAATCTGTCTTTTGCTATATCTTCCCTTGGGAAGTGATTTGCTAAATTCGCTTCAGGGACATCCTCTCCTGGTTCTCAGATGCTAAAGTCTAGCATCCAATTAGTTATTAGGAAATACTGGCTATGCTACACATGAAAAAAATGTCTTCTGCTTGATGTTGGCTAGCAATCTACAGAAGTATATGCTGAGGAAGACTGTGGTGTGAAATGCAAAACTAATAAAATTCAAATAAGAGTCCATGTGCACCAAGGGAGGAAGGAAAGGAAAAACTTTAAGAATACACAACTTAGAACATTGACATAAACAAAAGCACAATCCATGAACCTGCTTATTATCTTTCTTGCTCTGAAATTTACTGTTCACCTGACTTCCTCCCAGTTGAGTTTGTGAATTCAAGCCTCAGCAGTTTTAAAGTGAACTTCAAAGCAAAGGGGTTTTTCAATAAGAAGCATGCTGGCCATGAACTCTCTAAGAAATACCTCTGAGTTCTACTCAGACTCAAGAACCAGGAAGGAGAGGAAGACACATTAGTGGATTTAATATGTCTTCTATTTATTTGCCAGGTGAAAATTTTGCGGCAACTAAAGAACTGCTCTGACCTGAACTTGGAACAAATTTTCAAACTCTCCCCTTACCCAATTTCCCTAATGACACAGAAACTTGAACATGTATTTCCTAAGGATCTAGGCATACCATAAATGGCCTACTATGAATCAAATGTTCTTTGCAGTCTCTGCTTTACCGCAGAAAAATGCATGGTAATTTTGAATTTCACTTCATAACATATGTTTACTTTTTGCAAAAAGTTTACCTCCCCACAACAAAGTCTTTAGGAAAACTGAAGTTCAAAGAAAGTATATTATGTAGCAATATGGAGGCATTATATCACTGTGGGATACCATTAATGACTCTTGTGGTTTATGAACAATCAAAATTGAGAAGGTCAAGCAAATATGTTGATGACAGCTCATCTCTCTTACAATTCTCTTGCTTCTCTGCCTCCCATTCAATTCTTTATAAGATCTTACTGATCTCTCTGGTAAAATATTGCTGCTTTACACCCTTCTTCTTAAATGTCCAAGATCACAACCCCAGGTCAATTTGTTGTACCTCAATCCCGTGAACCTTGCCAAAGCCCTTTGGGCACCATGTTTGGCCCCCTCCAATTCAAATTTACTTCCCTAAAGTGGAACCTAAAATGTTGCTCTTAAGCTTAAACATTTCCCATGGTTTTCTAATGCCTGTGCAACAAGAAAAATTTCTCAGGTCCCAAGGTTCTACCATGGAAACCTGGTAAATGTGAAAAAAAGGATGGGCATTTGGAGTTGGAAGCCTTGAATCTAAAGTTCTGCTCTCCTACTAACTGGCCAGGGAACCATGTAATATACTTTTCCTTTATTCACTATAGATTTCTTAACAAAAGGGGATAGGAATAACATATATCCTCTGCCTCACAGAGTAATTACATGATTAGAAATAATATATGCAGAGGACATGCACAGTACTTGGATGGTGACATGTACTCAATAAATGGTTACAACTACTACTACTGCTATTGTGAATATTACTACTTCTTGTATTTTAAATTTGATTTCAAGCAACTCCTAAAACTGTGTCTCCCACTATTACCCTCATTTCCAGTATTCTGACCAAACTTAATTAGCTTTCTTGGCCATGTTTCAAATTTTTTTTTCCTGCTTCCCTTATTTTGCTTTGGATAGTCATAGCCTCTATCTTCACCTACAACTGAAGCCATAGCCCCAATGCTACCATGCCCATGAAGTTGATAATCTCTGTGGAAGCTATTCTTACAGCACTTTGCCTCTTAGTGTAGCAATTCCTGCACCTATTTCATTTTCTCTCCAGCACTGAAGGCTGCCTAGAGTAATGACTATGTTTCACATGCTATTGCTTCTCCAAGTACCTTATACAATGTGGGAATCTGAGTACTGCTTGTTGACTAAAAATCCTCTTCTGTAGATTTATCCCTGTTCCTTCTAGTAAATGAAGCAAGCATAAGACTATTACTTCGAAAATCAGCTTTGGAGCACCGATTTTTCCATCACATTAAAGAGATATGGATTTGTACCCGAGTGTAGAATTACTTCAGGACCAGGAGTGCACAGCATGGCTCCTGTCTACCTGTCTGGGGTGTTTTCATCATGCCATCCTGTTTCCATGTAGAAATAAGTGAATCAGGAGTCATCTGTGTTATCTGAGAATGGGATGACCTTGTTATATCTGCCCTCATAACTAGTAATAAAGGAAAATCTGACTTGTGAAGTATATATTTCTCTCTTTCTCTCTCTCTCTCTCTCTCTCTCTCTCTCTCTCTCTCTCTGTATATATGTGTCTGTCTTTTTAAATGTTTTTATTACAGAAATTTTCAAATAGCCACAAAAGTAGAGAGAATAATATAATAAGCCCCCATGAACTCTTACCTAGTTTCAACAATTATCAAAATTTTGCTACTTTTCTCTTTCTTTTTATAAAATCCACATGTCTTTTGCAAAACTAAAAACACTTGGGCACTTTCATCATTTGTCAAAATCTAAGACATAAATAGAACTATGTTAAATGCATACACCCCCCCACACACACACAGACTCTTACATTGAAAAGTGAAAAGCCATTAGAACACATAGTTCCTAAGTGTTAAGTAAAATTTTGTTTGGGTCCTCATTTCTTTCCACTCGGTTGTATAGTCCAAACATTTCATAATAATAAGTGTGTTCTCATTCGACAGTGGGAATACAAATTGAGAAATAAAGATGAACTATGTAAGCAAATCTTAAAGGACTCTCTTTGAACTCACATTGCAGCTCTCCTCATTGTCAGGTCTGTGAGGCAGGATGAATGAGGAGACGGACAGGGGGCCATCACACTTGTCCGCAGGCTGAGTGAAATCCAGGCAGCTGGTGATGATGCTAAAGTAGTGGGTCGGAATGGGAATGGAACTGCCTTCCACGTACCTGAAACAGGAAGGTAAAATACAATGACAGCTGGTGTAGGAGTTTTTTTTTTTTTTCAGGTGGTGACCAATGACTACCGCCTAGGTCACTAACATTCCTACTCCATAGAATCATTTTTCTCTTCTAAGCACTAGCCCACTTCTCTAACTTTGGACATGTTTTTGCTGCCTGAAATCACTCTGGACCTGGCAGAGCAAAAAGGATATTTAGGCAAAGAAAACAGTTTGGATCACAACTTGGATGCTGGACATGATGAATAGATCAACGCAGTAGAAATGTAAGGCTGGAAAGATCAATAAAAGCCAAATTATGGAGGGTTCTAAGTGCCAAGCTGTGGAGTTTGGCCATGATTGTTTAGACAGTAATGCTCCACTGAAGGTTTCTGTGTGAGGGAATGTCATGATGAGATCCATGTTTCAGGGAGATAACTTTCATAGAGTTATACAAAATGGGCCAGAGACAGACAGGAGGCACTGAAGCTAGGGGAATAACAGCGCTGTCAAGCCACAGTGATATTCTGAAGTGCGTACAAAGAACTCACTAAAGGAAGTGCTCAGGACTGAGTGCTAGTGATGAGCCTGAAGGCATAGAACATTAAATGATGGCATTATAAACATGTCATATTTTTATCTTCTTGCCTTCTCCACCAGGCTATAAGTTACTTGTATTCTTATTGTACTACCATGTTTCTCTGAAAATAAGACCAGATCTTATATTAATTTTTGCTCCAACAGTCTACATTTATTCATTTATTCATGTACAAAAATCTACATTTATTCAAACAGTCATGTCTGGCTGGCGATCTTAACTGGGGCTTATGTATGGGGTAGGGCTCATAAAACGAGCATCCTAGGGGCCGGCTGAGTGGCTCAGTTGGTTAAGAGCTCACTCCAGAGTGTGAGCTCTGAGCAACAAGCGGTTCGATGCCTGGCCCGAGCTGAGCTGCCAACAGGTGGCAGGATGGCTCAGCTAAAAAAACAAAAACAAACAAACAAAAAAAACGAGCATCCTGAAAAATCATGCTAGGGCTTATCTTCCAGTTAGGTCTTATTTTCGGGGAAACATGGTATTTCTCCAATAGCACCACAGAGAGGGACAGAAACTAGATTTGATCAAAGTCTATATATGCAATTTCCTATTGTTGTGCACTGACTCCAAAAATCTAAAGGAGTCTAAAAGTCACCCCCAACCCCCGCAAATAATGAAGATAACTGAAAATTATCGTCTCCCCACAGAAGAGTTGTAGAAGAAGAAATGACAAAAAATGTTTTAAATCTTTTGATATATTTTCTTTTCTGGGGTGGAAAAGTGCATTTATTTACCACAAAACCCAATTCCATTCCAGCCAGCAATGCTATGCTTAATCAAAGTTCCAAAAGAATGGAAAAAAAATCACCAGGAGATTCAAAGAGCAAAACATGGAAGGGGTATCAACTTTTCTCCAGTACGTGAATGTTTCAAGACATAGTCTTGGGAGAAATCTTGGAATTTAAAAAACGCACACTGAGTGGAAGTGAAAAACTTACTGTTTGATTTTCTCCTGTGTGTCATGTAAACCATCGTAATCATAGTCAAAAATTGGTCCACTTATCACATTAACTCCATTCCTTTCTGAAGCATATTTCTTCACCAATACCCTTTGGAAATAATTCCAGATTCCTGTAGTGACACAATCAATTCTTCATGAACAAAACTCTGTGCTTTGGCCAAATTCTTTCTGGGATGCATTCTACCAGCCAAATCTCACAAGGCAAGAGACGAGAGTGCTGTTGTGATTCTTGAGTAGAATGCATCCTAAAGCATTAGCTGTGTGTGTGTTATTTATGGACCAGCCAAGAGGAAGATATGGGGACATTGGTAAGGAGCTTACCCTAGCCCAATAAGTCAGGGAAGGATTTTGCAGATGAAGTGGTTACTGAGCTGAGATCTGAAGGATAAGTGGATGTTTCCTAGGCAAAGAGGTAGAGAAAGGACACTCCAGGCAGGAAGAACAGGAGGTATAAAACAGGAAGTACAGTATTTGTGAGGAATTGAAAAAGGCTTTAATCTACTTTTTCTTCCTTCCTGATCTCATAGATATGCTAGTTCCCCAGTGTATGTCTCTAGGCCTGATGGAGCTCCAAACATGCCATACAAACACACATCTCACAATCCACTTGAATACCTAGTAATCATGTAGTGCGAAAAATTATACAAACAGAATTGTTGATTTTCCTTCTCAATCTTGCTCCAACTCTTGGCTTTTCCATCATAGTTAGTGGTACTCGCACTCACCCAGGTGTTCAGGTCAAAATCCTCAGTCATCCCTGACTTCTTTCCCGACTTCATATACATATGACCAAGTCCTGTCAGTGCGACCTCCAAAATATACCCCAGCCATCCAATCTGACCCCTTCTCACCATTTTCACTGCGTCCACCCTGGTCTAAGTCACTATCTTCTCTGCAATGAACTACTCCAAAAGACTACTTGCTGGGCTCCCTATAGGAAACTTTTCCTTCCCTGTAGCCTGTTCTCTACATAGTAGCCTGAAGGATCCTTTACACCACAAGTCAGACTGTATCACACTTCCCCCGACACCCGTTTCTAATACTCCAGATGATTTCTCACTGTACGTAATTAGAATAAATCCCAACTTTCCACCTTGGCCCCCACCTACCTCCATGGCTTTACTTCCTATCCATTCCCCCCAAGGTATGTGGCTTTCTTCGTGTCCCCAACCTTGCCAACTTGTTTCCAGGTAAGCTTTTGCATTTGTTCTTCCTTTTGCCTGGAAAACTCATTCCCTGATCTGTGCTTGGCAGGTTTCTCCTCCATTATTCATTTCTCAGTTTCAAGGTCACCCCCTGGAGAGGGCTCAATTGTCCACTCTAGCTCCAGTTTACATTATGGCCAATCAGAGGGGCAGGAGAGGAGCAGAATGGAAAAGAGAAAGACAAAGGAAGGAAATCTCAAGAGAGCAGGAAAGGCCAACAATGAGTTGGTTTTGAAATGTTAGATTCAACTTGCTATGCTCCATTCTACGTGGGGGTTATAAGGTTCAGGCTGTTATTACTTCTTACCTCCCCCTATTTAAAAGTACTTGGCAATTTTTCTCATTGTACTTCAACTGCTCTTTATCTCTTCTGATACTCTAAGTGAGAAAGAGCAGGCCACTAAAGCCAAAATACTGTAGATAATGATTTGCAATAGAGAAAGGAGAACAGTGGGAGAGAAGTTCAAATATTAATTTAAACACAAAAACTGGAGAGGTGAGGAGGGAAAAAAATAACAATGAGAACAGTCAAAAGGCCAAAGCCACAGAAATGTGGCATGTGAAAAAAACCATTCCGCAGTGAAGAACAGTGAGTCCTCTGTGAAAGGACTTCTGCCATGCCAGCCTCAGGGTGGTACCAAGTGGTTCCTTTATTACTGTTTGGCCAAAAGGCATCAGTAAAGAATAAAGAAATCCAGGAAACCCTGATTCGTGGAAATTTAACAAAGCTGCATTTCAAGTAATATTGTGACAAATGTATCTATGTTGGTTTCTGAGACATTTCTCAATTGGGCCTGAGAACAAAGCAGGAAACGTTTTAAGAACATACTTCACTTTTTTACTCATAAGCAATGGATCCTATCTTTGAATAAACCTTCATTTACTAACCTAGGACACCTAATAAACTTTTTATTTCTCTAAACCATGTTGGCCATTTCACCAATGTCAAGTTGGGGAGGCCTGCCACTCTAGATGACACTCTATAATCATTCGTTCCTGTGAGTCCTATTTTAAGATTTTATTTCAACCCTGAAATCCCTGTACTACAGTCTAGTGTTCCTTTACCAGGTAGGCAGAAGTGCCTCCTTTTCCTACCTTTCCTATAAGCATATAGGTCTGCTCATTGTAAATGAACTAAAGGAAGGTAAAAGCTACCTTACAATGCTTTCTCTAGGTATGAATATATGGATGGGTGGGTGGATGGATAGATGGATGGATGCATGCATGTATTCTTTGTTACCAGAAATAAAAAACATTGTTTTGGTCATTGGACAATTAAGTCATACATCTGTATATAAACCACTGTGGTCATGCAATCAAATCTCTTAATTTTACAAATGAGAGGTTAAATGACATTTCTATGATAGCATAGCTAGAGGTCCCACTTCTGAGATTAGAACTCAGCTTTTGGCCCAGGGCTCATTGTGCCTATACTATTCATAACATCACTATCATCCATAAATATTTATGTCATGTACAAAGAAATGATGAGTGTTCAGAGAAACTAAGATAATTTTCACAGCTCTAAAACCAATTTAATATTCTGATGATTCAGAAGACAATTAAGCTCTTGCTAGGTTTCAGGGTCAATCAGAATATATCATCATCATCACCCTAAAGGAGAGAGGTGCTAGTAGCTTTTACTGTAACATCCAATAAATAAATATAGATGCTGTTAAACGTCGAGTGACCTCCAAAATACAAAGAAGCACCTTTTTCACAAGCCTTATAATGAACACTGAAATAGAAAGAACACCAGATTAGAAGGAAAACACAAGTTTGGTTTAGTTCAGCTTCCATAATTCATGATCTGGGTCACTTCTTATGATTCAACTTCTTAATTATAAACCATCAATAGAGAATCTGCCAATCTCCCTCACAGATTCATATTTTAGATTAACACTAGAGAATTTATATGAAAGGTCTTCAAAAATTATAAAGGCTAAACACAAAAGTAGTATAGCGATAGAAAAGGTAAGTGGCAAATCTAAAAATACTTTTTTCATAAATCATAGTTTACTAGGTAAATATTGGACTTACGTTTGAAAGCAGGATACATTGGCACCATGTTGGTTACAAGGAATGCATCATATTTAGCTTCTGGTGAAGAGCTCAGATCTAAACATTAGGAAAACAAACAGTGTCATTTCTTACCAAAACCTATATCAATTTAAAAAAATCAATCTTCTAAAATGATCCAAACAGCATAAAGTGGATGAATCTACTCTTTTATTTCCACTCAATCCTTCATTTATAGAGAATTTTCTACATCCCTTCCCACTCAATCTCTTTCTTTCACTCAATAGTTGTTCCTCAAAATATTTTACAATGCTTCTTCTTCCTAACTAGTCTTGGGTCTACTAAATATTATGTAAAGAAATCCTTGATTTCACTAGTGTAATTTGGACTTAAAAAAAATGCCATCAAGATAATGAGAGATAATTAAAGGGCTTCACATATTCTTAAGAGATCACCATGATGGTGTTATTTAAATAATTAATGTCTTAATGATTTACTCTTTCACTTTCAGATTCTCATTTCATGATGTGAGAGGACACAGAATACTCCCTTGCACTTTAGAATTCCTCTGGAGAATAAGATTTGTGAAAGCTGTTCTCTTTCCTGGCCAGTTTTAGAAGGATCCCACAGACAATTCGTGTCTTCAATCCCTGGAGCACCCTCTTGAAGAAAAGCTAAAAACCACTGAAGTTCTGAATACCAAGTCGCACACTCCAGACCCCACAAAATTACATCCCTCTAGAATGGTCAGCTCCTGATACTTTATAACTTACAAGGGGGGAAGAGGAATCCATAGGACATCTGTTTATCATTTTTGTAGGCCAAACAGCTCTGACTGAAACTCGGAGAAACACGGACATCAGGCCGCACGCAATTGGTCAAGTGCTCAGGGATGCCAGAGACCTCCGCCTGCATGGGGAGTCAGAGGCATTCAGTAACATCAAATCAACAGCACAATACAGAAACCAGATTGCTCTGCTATAGACAGCCGGAATCAAAATCCCTCCAGTTTTCACCATAGCTCCTATTCTCATATT